CCCCCCCGGGGGGGTCGTTTCCTCCCCGCCGATTCAGGCGGGTAGTGTAGACCTAGCCTTAGAGACTAACAAATTTATTAGAGCATAAGCTTTTGTGGGCTACTGCCCACTTCTTCGGATGCATATAGAGTGGAACATATATTGAGGAGATATATATATGTGTATATATATATACACACACTCTGTATGTGTATGTGTGTGTGTGTGTGTATATATATATCCCCTCAATATATGTTCCACTCTATATGCATCTGAAGAAGTGGGCAGTAGCCCACGAAAGCTTATGCTCTAATAAATTTGTTAGTCTTTAAGGCTAGGTCTACACTACCCGCCTGAATCGGCGGGTAGAAATCGACCTCTCGGGGATCGACGTGACGTGACAATCAATCCCTGAATCGACGCTCTTACTCCACCAGTGGAGGTGGGAGTAAGCGCCGTCGATGGGAAGCCGCAGAGGTCGATTTTGCCGCCGTCCCTACAGCGGGGTAAGTCGGTTGCGATACGTCGAATTCAGCTACGCTATTCGTGTAGCTGAATTTGCGTATCTTAAATCGACCCCCCCTGTAGTGAAGACCTGCCCTAAGGTGCCACAAGTACTCCTGTTCTCTATACCACTGCTGTCCCTTCCCTGGGTTTTGGCCCCTTCTTTTCATCTACGCCCCCCAAATCTCCCACCTTTCTGAATGTAACCGTGGCTCAGAAGGCTTGGCTGTATTTCTTCTGCATCCCCTGCAACACCCGCCACCCCCTGCAGAGGGATTCCTGTTTTACAGGCTCATCTAATGACTTCCAGATCCTTAATTTAATTACCAGCCCTTTCTTATCTTAATCACCCTGCCTCTGTTTGTAAACAAAACACTGACTCCCTGCCCCAGGGCCACAAGCTGGGAGTAGCAGGTCTCCTTTGCAGATCTCACATTCCACACTCAGGCTGTGCTGCCCTTAAGAGCTCTGCCTGGGAGCTCATCTCCTGTACGAAACTTGGGCTCCCAAAATGGCACCTCTGCTTTTATTCCTCCCAAGGAGCTGTGATCTCTCCCTGGGCTGTTCAGTTCTCCCTGGCTAGGTGCCTGCTGAGGGCAGCGTGACAGCACAGATACAGGGGGTGGGGTGGCCTCTCTGCCATCCCATCCCTTACATTACCTCTAATCTCCCTCTGACAAAAACCTGGTCCTTATAATGGGCTCCTGGGCCCAGTGTATCCCCTGGTGATTCTGCCCCGGTCCTTGTTCAAAGAGCTGAATGGGAGGAAGTGACTTGTTTAGGGTTTTCCCTTCCTAGAAGGCCCTCCACCGAGGGAGAGCGAACTCAGCGCTGCCACCCACAGTGCAAAAGCAGCTCCTCTGAGCTAATCCTGCCTGATGCCCCTTGTGTCGCCCCCCTCCGCTCTTTAACGAGACTCTGGCACTGAGGGAGTCTGTGCTTCTTCCCCAAATCCCAGGGCACCTGGGATTGGGATGGTGAGAGATGAAGCCTGTGAGTTGCCTCTCCTTCCTGATCTTACCTCTAGAGAGGTGGATTCAGTTTCTGGAGTGGGGGATTAGCCCCTGAGCTGCAGGTCCCTTAAGCATGGAGCCCCAACGGGTCCTTTGGCTGTTTTGGGATGTGGCTGGCCTGAGTGCCGTTCATGCTCTCTCAGACCTTTGACCTGTCTGCAGTTAACATCTTGCTTGGCTGTCCTGTACCCCCAGGGCAGCAGGCCAGATGTGTGCGCTGCCCTGCTCTGCCCAGTGCTGTGGGACTCCTTTGTGGATCACCAAGCCAGGGGAAGAGCTTTGCAGCCCATGTACGCACAGTGGGGCAAGACACCAGCATGACACGATCCAGCCGGCCTGCAAATGCTGTTGGAGACCCCTCGGCTCTGCAGTGACGTTATCACCTGAGCTGTGGATTAACCTGCCCTGTGTTCTGGTCTCAAGTGGCACATCAGCCCCATGTCGCCCCCTCGCCCTTCCACACTCCTTAGAGCTATACACACTTCCTGCAGCATTCTCATTCCCTGGGTATCGCGATCCCTCTCAGTGCTGGCCATTAGCCAAATGCTCATTTCCACTGGGGGGAGAGCTTTCTACCGCAAACCCCTTAAATGACGAGATCTGGGTGTGGCCATAAGCTGCTTGGATCCTGGCGCTGTCCACACCCTGGATCTCTGATCCTCGGCTCATGTTTCACACGCTTGTGTCCCCCAGCCAGGCCCCGTTCAAAGAAGGCAGCCAGCAGCTCCAGAAGCAGCCGGCGGTGGGACAGTGGAAGCCGCTGGCATCATCCAGCGGTGGGAAGGAGCTGCCGCAGTTGGATCCTCGCTGCAGGGAGGCAGGTGGGGGAGACGACCAATCCACGGCGCAGCTCAATGTCTCCCGCCTGCGCAGTTCCTCAGTGGAGATCCGTGAGAAGGGATCAGAGTTCCTGAAGGAGGAGCTCCACAGAGCACAGAAGGTAAAGGCTTGGGCGCGGGGAGGTGTGGGGGGGCAAGCACCCCTGGGGCGGGGGCACAGACCAGGAATTGAGGGGTGAAAAGGGTAGACGGGGCAGGAGTATCCATGGGCTGGAAGGTGGGAGCATGTCCTGTTAGGGTACTAACAATGAGTGCAACCTGAGCGTCTGGAGTGATAGGGGGTGAGTGGAGAAGGTGGGGCTGGAATCTGCACAGACGTGGGAAGGGGTAGCGTCAGTGCGTGCAGAGGGGAGGAGGCAGCAGGACGCAGTGGGAGAGATTGAGGCACGTGGAAGAAGGTGGTGCTGTCTGCAGAGCGTACTGGGGCCTGGCATGTGCTTCTGCCCAGCATGCCAAAGTCCCCACTGTCCTCTCTGCAGGAGCTGAAGCTGAAGGATGAGGAATGTGAGAGGCTGTCAAAGGTCAGAGAGCAGCTGGAGCAGGAGCTGGAGGAGCTGACAGCCAGTCTGTTTGAGGTACCACTTCCCTCCCCCTTCCCCAGTTACTCCCTAAATGGAGGTCACTCACTGTCCCCCTTGGGACAGGCTCTCTCCTCACTTTGCTCACGCTTTGGGGTTCCATGCATTCATGGCCAGCCCTTCGCAGTCTGAACAGTAGAGCTGGCCGATTGCGTATGCAGGATGGCAGAGCATGGTGCAAGCTGGCAGCTGTGTTAATGGGGAGGGGCAGCATGCAGGGCACTGGTATGGGAAACAGGCGTTCTCCTTTTCCCCCACTCCACCTCCAGTCACCCCAGCCACGCTGTCAGGAAACATAAAATAAAGCAGCGCGTGTATTCATTACACTTGGGTTTTCAGCCAGTGGTGTCTGAGGCGGGACCCGGTCTAGGAGAGTCTGGGTGTTTGTGTCCTGCTTCCCCCCAAGCAGCTGGTCCACATCACAGGTTTATTCGACTGCTGCTGCTGCTGCTGAATCTAGGCAGTTTAGCCCTTCCGCTGGTGCACTAGCCATGCCCCGGGCTTGCTGCAGCTGTTCTCATGTGGCCCATTCTCCAGGCTGCCTGCTGCTCCCCAGCCCTCTCCCAGATGCCAGCACCCGGCCCTTGCCTGGAGAGAGGCACCACAATGCCCTCAGTGCACTGCACCCCTGGGAGCTGCTTTACTGCATTCTGCTGGAGGGGGTGAATATTGAAAGGACCCACGTTCTTGTGCCATGGCTCATGATGAGCTCACAGGCCAGTAAAATCCTGTCTTCCAGCAGCCCAGGACACTCAAACACCTAGCACTGGACAGATCCTTATTGTGCCAGTCGGAGACAGGCATGCGCCGGGGGCACTGCCCCAGGGGCGTTGGGAGGGGGGTATTGTGTTCTGAGCTCCCCGCTGTCGTTGGGAAGGCTGCCACACTTGCTAGGGACCTTTGAGTACCCTGCCCCCCAGGAGAACTGCTGAGCTGCATGTAAAACACCAGGGTGCAGGGTAGAATGTGTCGCTTGGCTTTGTGGGGTTGCTCATTGCAGGGGCTGTGTGTAGCTGGGACTCTGGCTGCGATGAGCAGGAGGTAACGTGTTCTCTCTCCACTGTAGGAAGCGCACAAGATGGTAAGAGATGCAAACACTAAGCAGGCAGCGTCAGAGAAGCAGCTGAGGGAGGCACGAGGAAAGGTGAGGACTCTCCGATCCCACCCTCCTGCTGTACGAACACGGGGCTGCCTGTGGGCAGGGGGATAGCAACGTAGCTAAGGGTCACATCCCATCCAGTCTCCTCCCAGTGGGACCTCCTGGACTACTGGCCTCTAGACATTCAGTAGGTCTCTCAGCTCACCGCACAGCAGCTACTGAATGTGGGGAAACGTGCCATTTAAACCAGCAGCAGATCCAACTCTCCTATGAAAAACAGGGTCCAGACTTTCACCTGGGCTCCCACAAGCACAGAACTGACCAGCAGCTTCACCTAGCTGCAGTTTGTCACGTAGCAAACGTGAGGACAAGCTGCTGCTTAGAGGCACCACGGATAAGGGAGGCTGGGGAGAGAGGAGTTAGGGACAGGATTCCCTGATCAGGATGTACCACGGGGGCATGGAGCTGCATCTGCTGCTGACTCCTCATCAGGGAAGGGGTCTCTGGCTAGAAGACTTAAATATGCCCTGTCTGCGTAGCCTGGGCCGTTGCGGAGGATGTGGACTGGGAAGGGGCAGGGAAGGCTCTGCAACTTGTTTCTGATCTGTACAGACCCTGCTCCCTGGTTTGAGATTCTGGGACGGGGCACGGGATGGAAGAGCTGGGCAGATGTTGTGGATGGATCAGGAGATGTCTCCTAGGCTGAGTGTGTGGCTGGGTGGTGCGGATGCCCCTGGATCCTGAGCGTGCATTCCCTGCACAGTGCAAGGTACTCTGCTGGGTGGAGGTGGTGGCATTGTTGACTCTCCTTGTCTCCCAGATCGACATGCTGCAAGCAGAGGTAACTGCTTTGAAGACTCTGGTGATCACTTCCACACCTTCCTCTCCAAACCGGGAGCTGCACCCCCAGCTCCAAAGTCCCTCCAAAACTGTCTTCAGGAAAGGGCACGGGCGGAACAAGAGTGCCAGCAGCGCAGTAGTCACAGCCACCAGCCAGAGCTTGCCTGTGGAGTCGGTCAGCAACGAGTGCAAAGAGGTGGGTGAAATCCATTCACCACATCAGCTCTTGGCCCTGCGTGGGCTTGAGCTGGTGGAGGGATCGTCTCAGGGATTTCCCTTGAGGTCTGCAGAGCCCACAGCCTTTCCCCTGCTCCGCGGCTTCAGCGATGTTCACAGTAACGCTATTTGTGGATTAGGAGTCCTCTGAGTCTTGCTGTGCTGGGAGCTGGGGGTTTCTTGGCAAAATCCCAGACTGTGGGGACTTCCCCTTACAGGAGTCACTCCAGTCTGGATTCAGGAGAGAACCTCTGGAAACAACCTGCGTGCCTTTGCAGGACTTTTATGGCTGTATGGATACGGCTCTTAGCACCGCTGGCATCAGGCTGTAAGCACCTACTGAGAACTGGCTTTCCTGATCTGCCTCTGCAGTCTAACAGCTGCTCTGGCTAATGCTGTTTGCTTTGATTTCCCATCTGTCTAGTGTGGACTAGTGGTTAGAGCGCAGGACTGGGAGTTGGAATTTCTGCTTTCTGTTCCTTGGCTCTTCCACTACCTCACTATGTGACCTTGAGTAAGTCACCTTTCCTCCCTGGGTCTCAGTTTCTCTACCTGCAAAGCAGGTTTTGCCTGCCTCCTGAATAGAGCTGGGCAAATAAATACAAACCGCTTTTGTGGATATTCTTTCAACTAAAATCCTGTTAATTTCCTTCACTGAGTTTTATGGCCCCTTTCTTTTGCTCTCCCTAAACACTGATGTGAGTACAACATGAGTCTGCCAGAATTTATCTTTCTGCAAAGAGTGTTGTGACTAGTTGTGTGAACACACCTTTGCACAAGCGTTTGCACTGCCATCTGGAAAACTCCTTGTGGGTGTCAGAGCTGGAGGGATGAAGAAGCAAGTTTGGCATTTGAGCAGGAAGAACAAACGTGGTTGCAGTGGGGGGTGCACATACTTTGCCTCCACTGCCAGGAGCATTGGTGTCTGCAGCATGGAAGCATTTCAAGAGCAGGGAGGCACTTGGCCCATCTGGCTTGTCAGACAGCTAATCAGACCAGGAAGCGGTGACCAAAGAGGACTGGGCTGACCTCTCGGATGACTATTTGTCTGACAGTGACTTCAGTGAATGGCAATGGGGATGGGTGAATTCAATCAGTGCGCTTCAGCAGCTGCTAATATCACTATGTATGGAATTAGAATTACACACACGGAGTCTGGGTGTGAACGTGAGGGGAGAATCAAAGGAAGGGTCTGTTAAATAGCCATGAAGTCTTGCTTCATTGGTTTACATCTACCTCTCTCTTGATCAGGTAGGAAAGAACCCAGATATGTTGACATTTGAAGTCCAAGTATGTAGCCAAATAGAAGGATCCTTCTTGTGGCAATAAGGAAAGAGGCTCCTCTCCCGGCAATGAATCAAAACTCCAGTGAGCTGCTAAACAAGGTGATCCAATCAGGGGCCAGAAGCAATAGCCCCTGACTCAGGTGTCCAGTCAGGCAGCTGCACTGTTGACTCACTGATATCAAACAGCTGAAAGGCTGGCGAAGCCAGTGCCAAGCATTAGCTGAACAATTATGACTTGGGGACAAACTTGTAAAAGTCCTGTTCTGTTTGCGTTCAATTCATAAACCACAAAGGGCTGTGTTTGCTGATGCTGTCAATTGCTTGCTCTAATCATGAGGGTCAGTCACCGAAGGTCTGTAATCAATGGGAAATTCTTGGAGGAAGGTGCTTGTAGAATGTCAAAGATGGTAATTATTTCCCCTTTCTTGCTCACTAAGTGCACAATCCTGGCAAGGTCTCTACTGCGCCCTTGCTCTGGTGTAAACTGTGTCTACACAAGGGATTTCCATTGGTGCAGATAACCAGCTGCCTAAAATCCAGGGCCTACATTTTCAAAAACGTGACTAGTGAATTTGAATGCCTCTGTTTTTAGGTGCCCGCCTTGAAACGTACTTATGGGGCCTCAGGGTTGTGCAACACGTTGGGGAAAATCAGGTTTCTTTAAGGCAGCTCTAGCTGGGCACCCAAAAACTGAGCAACCCCAAATCACTGGCGGCTTCTGAAAACTTAGGCCAATGATATACTGAAAAACCTACGAGCTTTTGAGAGGCACTCGGCGCGCTGACAGGCAGAACTCGAGTTTTCTGTATCTTCTGTCTCACATTTTTGCCTTTCTTTCTCTGCCTGCCCCTCTGAACTGTTTCCTTGTCTGTCTCTCTTCTCTCCACTCGTCCTTCAAAGTTTGGCGTGCCCACTCTCCTCTCTCTGCTCCTCTGTATTGTCCCGGGGAAGGCCATCCACATCACCTACGAGCCAGGCTGGCAGGCCCTGGTGGCAGATTCTTCCTCGTCATCCTCCTTGCGGCAGGTAACCTCTGGAGCTAGAATATATGTGGCACAGAGGACAGGCTAGGGGGAGGGTGGGATTCATCAGCCTCTCACAGCTTCAGCCTTTCAGCTCTTCCTTTCTTTGACACTAACATCCATTTTTTTGTTTCTCTAATTGATTTCCATATTGTGGCGATGGAGTTGTCTCCCGGCACCAGGTGAGCAGTCTCCATAGCATAGAGCTAGTGCACTGTCAGGACAGACTGGGGACTGTGCTGCTTTGTTCACTTACGTTCTTTTCATGCTGGGCTTGTTTTGTCATCCCCCCGCCCCCCCATGCTCCTTTAACAAACTGTAACAGGGTCTGCTGGTTGTTTAAGGACAGGGACAGGCCCAGCATGGTCCTGTCACTGCTGCAGCCTAGAGCCGAGGCATGCTGGGATTTGACATTGGACTGATGGGAATTGTAGAGCATGCTGGGAGCGGGCAGGGAAGCAGGATATAAAATGAGAGATACTAGGGAAGAGGCAAGATCTGCTGTGGGTCCCTCACAGCTGTGAATTTGAGTCCATCTGTAAAGGGGAATAGGTGCAGCAGCTCCCATGCCCTGGAAAGCTGCTCCCTCTCTGCAGAGAACCCATAACAAATGTAACCATTCAGTGCTCTGAAGGAAGGCTGCTTCTTATACCTAGGGTGACCAGATAGAAAGTGTGAAAATTTGGGACAGGGGATGGGGGGTAATAGAAGCCTATTTAAGAAAAAGCCCCAAATATCGGGACTGTCCCTATAAAATCGGGACATCTGGTCACCCTACTTATACCCTGTTTTCCCTTCTATGCATGCCCCACTGCCTACAATCCCCATCATTTCTGGGAACAACAACTCCCAGAATGCCTCAGTTCTGGGCTGCAGCAACTCCAAGGCTGCTGGGTTTGGACCTGTCTTTAAAGGGCCAGCACACCTGCTACACAAATGGATAGAAATGGTGATGGCTATTCACTGAAAGCTTTTCCCTGACTCTCTCCTTTGCTGTATTGACCTTTTTCTCCAAGGGGATTCTGCCTTTATGTCCTGACCTTGGTTGCCATCGCGGGCTAGCCCTGCCTATCCTCTCCTGGGATGAGATGGGAATTTGGTCTATTCATTCGCTCTCTGGCTGCCTCCCCCAGTGGGGACTCTGCCTTGCCTTTGGGGAACTCGGGCATTTCACAGGCCTCGGACTGAGCTACCCTCACTTGGCATGTTAATCTGTCACAGAGATGGTGATGTGGGTGGCAGACAAGGCAGATGCAGAGGTTCCCCTGGGGGCGATCCTGCTTTTCTCCGCAGTTCCTGCTGAGGTTCCAAGGCAGCCTTGTAGTTGGGGAATTGGTGTGTTAACTCTTGTGGTGTCTTTCCCCCTCTCCCCAACCCCACACCTTCTCTCTTCCTGTGTCTCCCCTGAGCTCGCTGCAGGTCGACTCCATCCTATTCGCCGAGTTCCAGGCCTGGAAGGAATCCCCGACTCTGGAAAAATCCTGCTCCTTCCTGGAGAGGATTTACCGGGAAGATGTGGGGCCCTGCCTGGACTTCACCAAACAGGAGGTGAGCACTGGAGCAGAAGCGAGGACTTTGGGGGGTCGCTCTGCTCAGACATTCAGGCTGTATTGATGCTGAGGAGGCGCGCAGTCATCACCTCACTGGACATGAGCTTTGCTGATCTGAATTCAGGTCTGTGTTTCTTGCTGTAGCTATCAGAGCTAGTGCGGGAGGCCGTGGAGCAGAACACGCTCACCATAGAGCCCGTGGCTACCCAGGCACTGCCCGTGGTGAAGGTGTCGGCGATGGAATGTGGCGGACCAAAGTAAGGAACCTCCCAGGTGCTCCCTCAGCCATCACTGACGCTCACATCCAGCCTCCTCCCACACTACAACAGCTTCCATCCCACACATCTGCTCAGCCTTCTGCTGTGTCTCCAGAGCGCTGTCTCAGATCTCTCTAGGGGTCCCATCACCTGAGTATCTGAGCAGTAGTGGGTAGTAGCTGAGTAGTCTGGTGTAGAAACACCTCTTTAGTTAATATTTCACAGTGTGTTTTCCCATCCCAAACCAAGGCCAGCAGCTGGCCTGGATCCAGGCAGTCACCACTAGGGGCTGGTTTTTGAGGCTTTGGAGTCTTCCTGAATTATTTTGGGAGGCTGGAAAAACTACTTGGAGTTCACAAACTTACCGAACGTTTTCTTCCTCTAACTTAAACTCGGGGCTGGGGGAGTCACCCAAGGGTGAGTCGTTTGAAAACATTATCTCTCAAGGACAGAATTTGCTATGTACTGGGGCTAGGAGAACCCCCAGAAGACGAGCCGGCAGGACTGGGTGACCCGCAGATGGTGTTTTTTATTCCTTCCCTCTTGCAATTTCTCCTATGCATGTGTCCCATAGCGTCCAAGTTCACATCACATTTTTGAACCCATGATGCTCTAGGTGGGTTTGAAATGGGGCAAAATGAGCTCACCCATCTCTCCTCCCTATCTTTCACCCCAACCCCTCCTGAGAGTTGCGTCGACTGTTTTCAGAGTCACTACTGTGACAGCTTGGGAATCACTTGTCTGTCTGTGCTCCTGATGTTACAGGGCCTCCGTTCCCCCAGGAAGGGAAGTGGCAGGAAATGGTTCAATTCAGTATCACTGCAAACGGAGAGGGGTCAGACTCCTGAGCTTTACCTTTCTTGATCAAGAGAGAGGATTTCACTTAGCTGTTGTGTTTAGGTCAGCTGGGTTTTTTTCCTGCTGCTAGCAGCAGCAGCTTCCAAGCCAAAGGTCATCTGTCATGTCAGGCGGCAGTGACCTGAATGACACACAGACTACATGGCAAGCTGTTCCACATTCTCTTTCTTCTCAAAACAAATCACTCTGTGAGTGTTAGTCCCATGCCAAAAACAAGCCATCCTGTGTGTATCCTGACTGGTTGCCTTTTGTTTTTTTGTCTCTTCTCACAGCGGGTTCCGGTCGCAAATTGTAACGTAAGTGATTTTTAGCTAATGATGAAAGATCTCTGATCCATTAACAAGTTACTAACTTACCTGGTTACTAATGGCTTTGAGGCTAGAGTTTAGCCAGTAACTTTTTTAATCCTGTTAATGCTGGAAGGTGAATTGAAGGTCCCACTTATAACAGTCTTTGGGACAAATGGCCTAAAAGTGACTAGTGATTTTTGGGCCCAACTTCTAGAGACGCCTAGTTTCTGGAGGGTGAGTGCTCAGCGCTCTCTGAAAATCCTCTCCCTTTAATATGTCTCAAACACTAGGCGGCCCAAATCACTCCTCACTTCAGTAGGCCAGGCTTCTGCTTTTATTGTTTAGCCCGTGTTTGTCTGTTTAAATCCCCTGCTAGTGGGGGAGAGAAGATAATGAAACAGGCTCACAAGCCCTCCTGAACATTTGGTGTCACATTTCCTATCTCGCTGATTCTTCCTGCCTGATTCGTGGCCATCCTAGCTACTTTTACAGCTAAGGAGTGATGCCAATGTCCAGCTCAGAGGCGCGGGGACTGAGAAGGATGTGACGATGGTTAAATGCTGAGAAATACCAGGAAATCCCTATTGGGCGGCATGAAGTGGTGCTGGAAACGTTCCCTGGAATTTTTCAACAAATGCTGGAAACTGGATTTCTCTTTACAGACAGTTGAAAAGAGTCAGAGAAGATCAGGAGACTCCAACATCTCCTGGCCTTTGATGTGGAAAGACTCCCATCAATTTCAGTGGGCTTTGGCTCAGGCCCCATCTGATTAAAAGGGACTCTGGAGGGGGCTATAACTTCACTGCCTCCAAGATACTAACTGCAAGCGAGATGCTCAGTGGAGCATAATCATTGGGTATAATCAGCGGTGAGCCCCAGTGTATAGTCCATGTGGTCATTCAATGAAGATGCCAGACCACATGGGCGTTCCGCCCTTTTTGCAGATGGGATTTAATTTATAAACCTTTTCTTGTTTAAGTTCGTGTTTGAAGTTAAAAGTTAATGTTTGAACTTGGCCTCTGTGTGACATGGCACAGGTTAGAACTGACCGACTCTGTGCTGTGGGTTCTAGCAGAATAAGCTTCCCGGAAAAACACACGTTAAAGGACAATGAAGAAATGATTCACTGATTGGAAAAGAAGACATGCATAAGGGGAGGTTAAAGGAGCTATGTAGTAGCATGCTGCCAGAGAGTATTACATATCCCCTTTGTGGCTGGACCGTAGAAGAGGTTATCAGCCTTCAACTATCTCCAGATAATGGAGTTAGTCCTTTGTAGCTCAAATGCTAGAGGCTTGTGTTTTGAAACTGGGTTCAATTCCCAGTGAGTAGTTGTGTGCACAGAGACAGATGATGAGGAACTTTGGTAAAACTCCCATTGGCTCCAGTGAAAACTCTGCTTGAGTAAGGACTCCAGGCTTTGGCTCTGAACTGGACATGAGCCAAGGGAAGAGCAGAGTTATTCTGGACTTACACCAGTGTGACTGAGCTCAGGATCTGGCCTTTGGTTTATAAATACCTTCAGTGTAACAACAGTATAAACTGAGAAAGGGGAAAGTTCCCAGGCTCAGAAGATGGTAGGACAAAGAGCAATGACTTTAAAGATGAGGAAGAAGGTGGTCTAGGAGGGATGCTCAGAGCAACGGAGCAGTGAAGGGGATGGTCAAAGCATTGTTGCTACAGAGTTCAAGAGAAGGTTGGAGACTAGGTTAATGAGAATAAAATAGTGAGAGACCCTGCAAAATGCAGGGATCAGACTGGGTGGTCCAAGTGGCTCTGGTCCATCAGGGAATCTGTATTATGGAGGGAATATGTCCTAACCCCACTACTCCCACTGTGATAATAGTAGAATGGAACAACTTAAATATCTGAGTAGTCAGAGTATGGATTGTATGTGCCATGTTTCTGCGTGGAGAAACTGAACCGCAATCTGAGCTTGGCCACAGACCTCCTGATGTGCACTAGACCTGGTCTCGGAGCGATCCGGAGAGCTGTCGTATAGCACTCTGACCAAACAGATTGAGCCCTGAGTGGTGATGAAGGAACAGCCCCCTCCCCTCACAGGGCATAGAGACCCTTTTCCTAAGGCCGAGTAACCCCAAGTGCATGTATGATGGAGTGGGTGCAGAGAACAGACAGAACTCTTTACACTCGTTACATTGCTTCATCCTAATGTCTAACAGCTTTTCTCCTGGCCTGTTGCCAGCACTGCATGTCCTTCTGGTTTCAGACCATACAGGGGGAGCCCTGGCATGCAGGGCCCTGTATCAGTTTACCTGGTGATTGTGTAGCTCCTGGTGCCTCCTGTGCAAATGTAGGATGAGAAGTCTCCTGTACTTGCCCCTTCCTGCAGCTTTTATTGAATTGTTTCTGGCAGCAGAGAACTCAAATCCCACCTTCCTCTTTCCTGTCCTGGGCTCTGATTGACTCAGACCTGGCTGCTGGGGTTTGGCTTGAGGAAGCTGCCAGCTGCCATGCTCTGCTCCTCCAGGAGCTATCCTTCACTGAAGCACTGTTTTCCTTTCTCCCTACAGGAAGTGCGCTCTGAGTGGCCTGTCCCGAGCCTGCAAACACCGCATCAAGCTGGGGGATTCTGGGAACTATTATTACATCTCACCATCCTGCAGGGCCAGGGTGAGTCCTCCAGCATCCCAGGGGCCATCTTTTCTCCCCAGCTCCTTCCAGGAACTGAAACAGATTAATCCCTGGTGTAGCTCCACGGAAGACAGTAGGGGCAAATTTGGCTGATAGAGTTGGATTGGCTCTCAGTCAGTCTGCATTGATCGCTGCTACCCACCCCTGTTTCTCAGGGTATGATACCGTGCAGTGGTCTGGGTTATGTTACTCATTTAAGGCAACAGTAACTTTCAAAATATGTCTTTACTTCTCTCTTCTCCATGATTTGATTCTCTGTGAAGGTTTGATTTTGTCAAACACTATAATTCACTGTTCCTTGAATGCTGGGTTTCATTACTGTGCAGTGGAGAGCAAGTGACTAAGGCTGTTCTGGAAGCAGACTCTCCTTTTACTCTGGAGGGCACTGAAAAAGTAAATTATTCCGTATTATTATGGCCCTGATTCAGCAAAGTACTTAAACAAATGGTTATGCTCAGCTCTCTTCAGCAAAGCTATCAAGCATTTGCCTAAAAGATAACCATGTGTTTAAATGCTTTGCTGTCTTGGGGCCTAAAGGAGCAAATCATTCCCTACAGCAGTCCCTGTCTGGGGTAGGGCTGTGGGGGATATTGGTAATAGAGCTCAAACTTTGTCACTTTAACAAAAACAGTCCAATTTAGCACAACTCCTCCTTGCACAAACAGTGTAGTTTTTCACTAGGGCTTTTTCAAACAAAAGAAATTCTTGTGTTGTAAAACTTCTTTCAGCAGAGCTCAGTTGTTCCTTTCAAGTCTGAATGTTCACAAAGTGCAAAGGTCTTGTAATTCTGGCCCAGGATGTTTCAGTTACACATATTGTAGTGAAACTGGCTGGCCCCTGCTCATCTTCACACAGCCTTAATTTCTGGTACTGAATACACATAAATATCTGCCTCTCTCCTAACTCTCATCCCTGGCTGAAAATACACAGGACTTAGAAAGCTCTTTTCATCCATAATTCTCAAAGTACTGCAGTATTGCTGCAGATGAGGAGATAGGGCCCCAGAGAGATGAAGTGACTTGCTCAAGGTCACACAGTGCCTCAGTGGCAGAGCAGAAATTAGACCCCACAGCCCTTTACTTCCAGTCTAGCCCCGTGTCTGCACTTCCCTTGCCTATCCCACTTTACTCTCCTCCTCCTGCCAGGGGGAGTCCCATGGGTTCGCACCAGGATTTCCAAAGTGACAGTAGTGCTGGGCATCCATTGCTCCCATTGACTCCAGCTGGAGTTGCGGATGCTCTGCACTTGTGAAAAATCAGCCTTGTGAGCATAGAGGATGATGCCAAAGCACTGAGATGGGTGGTGGCGATACCAAACCCTGCAGCCTTAAGGAAGAGGGATCCTCTGGCCAGCGTATCTGCCTTTGCTTTGGCCAGCCCCTGCTGTGCTATTAATTATTATTATTGTTGTTGAGGCCGTTTTACAGCAGTGTCTTTCTCTCTCTCTCTCTCCTAGATCACAGCCGTATGCAACTTCTTCACCTACATTCGCTACATCCAGCAGGGCTTGGTGAGACAGGATGGTAAGAGGCAGCCGGTGGCCCCCAGCAGAGGCTTGGGGGTCAGTGGGAGCTATTGCGGAGGCTGCTCCCTGTTGCAGAAAGGGACTGGGCTCCTAATGCTCAGTGAAGGGAGGCGAGAGGGCAGGAGGGACTTTCCCTCAGCCTAGTGAATGCTCTGGAGGGATGGAAGGGCCCCAGTCTAGCTGAATGGGAGGGAGATGTGGAGAGCTCTAGAGGGGTTGAGAGAGAGAGGTCAGTAAAGGGGCAGGGAAGCAAGGGAGAGGGACAAGAGGCCTGAGGTGGGACGGGCAGGAGAGGGGTGGAGAAGGAAGGGAGGTGCCCACACTGAGCTTTGGGGGGCTATGCCCCATGCTGCAGGGCTGGCTGAGCAGGATGGCCCTAGTCCTATGGCTCAATCCAGTCCATGAGTACGCTCTGTGTGGACCGATGTCCCACTCATAGGGGAGGGGGCTGAGCCAGGTAGCTCGCATGGCACCTAGTGTGGGGCTAGCTAACCCTCCTGCCCCTTTGCTTTGCAGTGGAGCTGATGTACTGGGAAATCATGCGGCTCAGGAGGGAAATGTCCATGGCCAAGCTGGGCTTCTACCCCAGTGCGATGTAGGCTGGGCCTCGCCGTCTGAAGGGAGCTGCCCCAGCACGAACGTCACGTACTCCAGCAGACAGACAGACTGAGGCAGCGCATCTACGCCGACGGGGTTCCCTCCTTCTCCCAGCCTGACGTGAACCGCAGAGGGGAGGAGCAGAGTTCCCCCGTCCAAAGGCCTCCTTGCTGCCGTTCTCACAGTGACTATGAGATGCAGACACCCTCACCTCCCCCCAGAGATGGGCCGGTCCTTTGAGCTCTGGGGGGTGGCCAGCGCTAAGTTCTGTCCATAGTGGACCCTTTTCTCTATGCTGCCTATAGCCAGTTTTTTTAATTTTATACACAATCTTGCTTCTGCGGATTTTCCGAGACCTGCTGTGCACGAGGCGGGTCCTGGGCTCCTCTGTTTGGCAGAGGGTCCTTTTGCACCGAACTGCAGCTGGGCCTTCTCACATCCACCCCTCTGCCTGAGCGAGGCAGGGGTGCAGTATTGCTCGGCTATGCCCCCAGCAAATGCCAGCACCGCACAGTAATCTCACTGAGAGCCATGCAAAGCATGTTTTCCAAGTGCTTCCCTGCTCCTCTGGCAGTCACCTGTAGGAGTCACTTTCCATTCGCTCAGTCACAAAGAGGGGTTTGATTCTCTTTTCAGCTCAGGGTTTGGTTTTGTAACCCAGCTCAGAGCTGCCGCTGGGAGAGCTACAGCGTAGGCCAAAGCTCCATGCCTGGGGCCTCGGTCGCAGTGCAAATGGAAATTGCAGAACAGAAACTTGGCCACAGCTATGCTGAGGTTGGCTGTACAAGGCTGCAGACACTGTCTCTTCAGGTCCTTGTGAGGCAGCGGTGCCCGGCTATGGTCACTGCAGGAATGAGCATCTCCCTATTGCTTTGCTATAAACCCCAGCCAAGGACAGATGCCTCCTAGCCACTCCTGTTTCTAGGCTGCGGCCTCAGGCATTCACCTCCCTGCTGTCTCAATATAAACTCCAGCCTGGGGCTGTCTCCTCTCTGGCTTTTCTTATAGCCCCCAACTCAGGCCGTTGCTACTCAGTGGCCAGTTATAGGCTCTGGCCCTGGGCATTCACTTCTGTGCTGCTCCATTATAGATTAAGGCCAGAAGGAACCATTAAATCATATAGTTTGACCTCCTGTATAACAGAGGCTGTAGAATTTCACCCAGCGACTCCTGTATTGGACCCAAGCCTTGCCAGTGCTTCGGGGTGAAAGTAACTTAAGGCACTTACTGGTACGCAGGGCAGCCGGGGTCCTGAGTAAGGTTCGGGGGGCGGGGCTGGGGCCAGACTCCCCCAGCCAGCCCTTCATTTAAAGGGCCTGGGGCTCCTGGACGTCTCTGTCAATGCTACCCCGGGGCTCCAGCAGTGATTTAAAGGGCCTGCGGCTCTGGCTGCAGTAGCGGTAGCTGGGAGCCCCTGGCCCTTTAAATCACCGCCGGAGCCCCATGGTAGAGGCAGCAGCACCTTGGAGCCCCAGGGCTCTGGTGGCGATTTAAAGGGCAGGGGGCTCCGGCTGCTATTGGGAGCCCCGGGCCCTTTTAAATTGCTGGGCCCCAGGGAAGCTGCCCCCTGTGGTACGGTCGGCTGTGTACCGGCTCTTACCGGTACACAGGACCGGACCGGCTTACTTTCACCTCTGCAGTGCTTTCTTAATGGTCTCCCAGCTCCCCAGCAGGGAGCCCTGAGACACCACTGCATGTGGGTGACAGCGCCTGGGGCAACCATTTCCTAGGCCCCCCTGCAGCTCACATCTCCCCTCCCACTGTCATTAATATAGGATCATATGCAGTAGTGCTGGGAGGGCCTGATCCAAAGCTCATTGAAATCCTTGGGCTTCCAGTAGCTTGGGCTCAGACCTTAAATATACATGGTGCTTTACAGAACCTTGCAAAGCCATGATCCTTGCCTTGGAGTGTTTTTATAATTGAATAATTAACCTCGTCTACTATGTCATCGTCTTGGCTGCCATCCTGTGCTGTTGTATCATCTCACCTGGCGCTGCTGAGCCGCGTTTCTCTGTGATGTAACTCCACTGCCATCAGCAGAGCCGCGAATCAGCCCGTCGGCACCCAGACTCAGATAGTCTGTGATGTCAGAGCCTCTCCCCGGAGGAGCTGCTACACAAGTAACCTGATCACGTGCAAAGGAAAACGCTGTGCCTGAGTCGCCTTCTGTTCTGCTTTGTGTTTGTCTGGGACAGGGAGGCAAATGGCAATAGAACCTCTGGGCTGTTTGCAGGTCAGCAGATGCCTCGTTGCATAAGAGCCTCTTGAGCGTGGGTCAGCAATCCTGGGAGAGGCACTCCTTTCATCACGCGAATGTTGGCTGCACCCTGCTGCTCTGCCTGGTGGCCCTTGGTGCCACCCTGATGGCATACAGTGGCACTTGCAAGCAAAGGGTTGGTCAGTAAGTGAAACTCAAGTCCTGCTCCCCAGGAGGGTAGCTGGGAGGAGGATGCTGGAAATGCTCCCATGGTACCTACCTCTTCCTGCTTAGAATAGGGCTGGTCTGAAACACCAGCACCCAGTTGTGGCCCCACTGCTTGGCTCTGCTTCAGCAGCCATGAGCCATAGTGGGATTGCAAGGTCTAATTCCTCTTCAGCAACTGGGTGCCCTGGAAATCCTCACTCTGATCCTGGCTGAAAAAATATTAGCTGTTTTCTGCAAGGGAAGGTGTTTTACACTGTGAATTACAGGCCTGGAGAGTGAGCGTTTAGGGACGAGCTAGGCTGGGTGCCAGCGTTTGGGCTGGTGTGAATCAGCATCTCTCTGAGGCCTTGGCTACACTGGCGCTGTACAGTGCTGCAACTTGCTGCGCTCAGGGGTGTGAAAACGCCCCCCTCCCCCCGAGCGCAGCGAGTGCAGCGCTGTAAAGCACCAGTGTGATCAGAGCCTGCAGCGCTGCATGCTCACTCGCAGCGCTGCAAGCTACTCCCCTTGGAGAGGTGGAGTACATACAGCGCTGCGAGAGCTCTGTCGCAGTGCTGGCGGCGCGACTACACTCGCGCTTCACAGCGCTGCCGCGGCAGCGCCGTGAATTCCCAAGTGCAGCCAAGGCCTGAGTCCAGTGGAGCTATTCTGATTTACACCACCTGTGATGAGGGAAAGCTGAGAATGTCCTCCTCAGAGTCAGATTTCAGCTCTTTCCTTGCAGTTCCACCTGGATCTATTTTGCTTTGGTTCCTGCTGTAAATTGCTATGTGATGTTGTTGTGTGCTGTTAACTGGCTGCGGTGTTCCAGCCTGGAGGTCACTGCAGGTCAGCAGTGGGTGAGATGATCCTTCTGTGTAGATTTTCCTATCAGTTTGTAAAGTGCTTCGGAATGAAAGGAGTTAGAGAATTGCAAGCTGTTATTGGTCTAGACACTTTGTTTTAAATGTAAGACAAAAACAATGTGTTAATTACTCTGAAATTGCTCAATTTAAACAGCAAGATGGCTGCACTCTGCTCTTTATAAAGGAAAATAAATCTTTGCCTAGAGGAAGAATCACAATTCCAGACTCCGTATTTGGCTTGGCCACATCAAGGAGGGCAGGGAAGCAGTTTAGTGGCCAAAATGAGGATCCAAATAGCTCTGTGGTGATAAGCTGGTCTAAGGCTCCTCAGGATGAGCTTACGTAGGGGCTCGTGGATTGGTGTGGAGTTGCTGCCCATTGTGCCCCACCCTGGGTTCCTGCACTGCTTAGACTAGGACAGGGGTCGGCAGCCTTTCAGACGTGGTGTGTCGAGTCTTCATTTATTCACTCTGATTTAAGGTTTCGCGTGCTGGTAATACATTTTAACGTTTTTAGAAGGTCTCTTTCTATAAGTCTATAATATATAACTAAACTATTGTCGTATGTAAAGTAAATAAGGTTTTTAAAATGTTTAAGAAGCTTCATTTAAAATTAAATTAAAATGCAGAGCCCCCCGGACCTGTGGCCAGGACCTGGGCAGCGTGAGTGCCACTGAAAATCAGTTCGCATGCTGCCTTCGGCACGGGTGCCATAGGTTGCCTACCCCTGGACTAGGAGATGGTGCCACTGTAGCAGGGGTGGGCAAACTTTTTGGCCTGAGGGCCACATCTGGGTGGGGAAATTGTATGCAGGGCCATGAATGTAGGGCTGGGGCAGGAGGGTTGGGGTTCAGGAGGACTGTGGGGTGCAGAAGGAGGCTCAAGGCGGGGGGTGGGAGTGCAGGGTGCAGGAGGGGTTCGGGGTGCAGGCTCCAGCCTGGCAACACTTACCTCGAGTGGTCCGGGGTGGCAGCAGCGTGGCTAATGCAAGCTCCCTGCCTGCCCTGGCCCCATGCCGCTCCCAGAAGTGGCCAGCATGTCCAGCAGTGGCTTATGGGGGTGGGGCAGGTGGCTTCGCCACGTGCTGCCCTTGCCTGTGGGTACCACCCCCGAAGCTCCCATTGGCAGTGGTTCCACATTCCCGGCCAATGGGAGCTGCGGGGGGCGGTGCCTGCAGGTGAGGACAGCGCACAGAGCCCTCTGCCCCCTCACTTCCCCAGGGGCCGCAGGGATGTAGTGCTGGCCGCTTCTGGGAGCGGCATGGGGCCAAGGTAGGCAGGGAGCCTGCCTGAGCCCCGCTGCGCCACGGGGTTGGCAATCCCGCAGGCCGAATTGAAAGCCCTGATGGGTCGGATCTGGCCTGCGGGCCATAGTGTGCCCTCTCCTGCACTATAGGAACTGGCAAATCAAAGGTACTGGAACTGCAGTATTGCAATAGGAACAGGGGATACCATGGTACTGTTACATAAAGAATGGAATGGCAGTGATTGTGTAACCAGTTCAGGAGAATGTGGGTCTTTGCCTCCCTCTAGTGGCATAGGATGCTTATGTGACTGTTACCCAATCGGACCAGGAGAGTTAACTCTTTAGCTCAAGGAGTAGATGCTAGAGCTGAAGATTGTTGGGTTCAAACCTCACTGTTGTCTGATGGGGGTAGATTGGTTATAATTGTTTTACTGGTAGGGCAAATGCGGAGTTTTAAGGGGGTTTGCAGCACTACACCTTCACTTCTGACCATGTGGGACCTGGTGACTGGGAAAGGAACTCAGCAAATCAAAGGTGAACAAGGTGCAGGGTGAGATCAGAGCAGAAAAGTGTCCAGAAATGTGCTACATTAGAGTTTAAATCATCCGCAGCATCAGGCTCACCCTCAGCCTCCAGTGGGGACTAGCTGCAAGCGGTCACCTCGGATGAGCTTACACAGCAGCCAAATGCCATTCCCCATCACTGCTGGGGTTGAAGATGCCCTGGAGGTCAGTTCTCACCTAAATATAAAAGGATCCTGGGACGTTTTCAGCTCTACACGTGAGTTGCCAATACATGTGTCCTAAGGCCATGGTCTTATAGCAACTCATTCACTTCAACAGACCTGGAGCCTGCTCGTATAGAGTCAACAGCCAAACTCCCCTTGACTTCAGTACAGGCAGGGGAGGCCAATACCAGCCCATTCCCATTCATTTGTGCATGGTCTCCCCAGCATTGGAGCTTTGGCAGGCATGAGACTGAGGTGTGGAACAGCACGGCCTCCACTGCTGGTTAGAGCAGGAACAGCTGAATGAGAGCTCATTCTCATGCAGAATTAGTGCGGGTAACAAAGGGGTGACTGGGAGCCAAAGTCATTTGTGAGGATCTGGACAGTCAAGTCTCTCTCTGTATTCCACTGAATGAAGAGTCTCGCCTGCTCTGTGACCTGGCCTGTTTCTCCTTGCTCTGGCAGGAACCAAGCAAGAGACACTTCCTGGTGTTACAGCCTGACAGCGGAAGTTGCTCTTCATTTTGTGGAGGCAGCATAACCACCAGGAACCCCTCTCCTATGGGACTGCTGCCTCATAACACCTGTCTATTTGTAGGATCCCCACCTACAGGGCTGCACGGGATGGACTGTCTGTC